ATTTTTATTTATATATTATATGCACACATATATATTCCCATATATATTCCTATATAGATATATATGCACACATATATATATGTTCCCATATATATTATTCTAAACGTACTTCTCTGGTGCTTGCTTTTTTTCTTGTGGACATTTTTCCTTATCAGAATATATAGATCGCCTCATGGGGTCAAGACATTTTGTGCCAACTCAATTTTAGTCTTTATTAAGATATACTAGGGAGAATTCTAAGATAGCCCCCAAGATTCCCCCTTTCCTCCATGTAGAAGCTTGTATAATCCCCTCCCCTTAAGCATGGATGGGACCTGTGAATATGATGGGATAGTCACTCCTGGGATTACATTACATAGTATCAGGCTCTGTGGTAGCCAACTGGAGTGAGATTTTCCTCATGGCTTTGAAGAAGTAAACTGCCACGTTGCAAGATGGCCACATGCCTGGAACCTGAGAGCGGTCTCTAGGAGCTGAGCACAAGACTTGGCCAAGAGCCAGTAAGAAAATGGGGACCTCAGTCCTACAACTGCAGGGGATTCAATTTTGCCAACAACTTGAACAGGCTTTGAAAAGGATGCCAAGTTCCAGCTGAGAACACACCCCAGCCAACACCCTGATTTCAGCCTTGTGAGTCCCTGAGCAGAGAACCCATTTATGCTATGCCCAGACATCTGTCCTACAGAAACGTGAGAGAATAAATTGGTGTTGTTTTAAGCAGGGCTTCGGACTGGTTTGTTCTGGTTCACACCCCTGCTGAAAATTTATATTTCTAACAAGTTCTCTGCTGAGAATTTGCATTTCCACCATAGATATACTGAATCAGAAATGTACATTTTAAAAAGATCCCCAGGCAATTCTTATGTATAACTTCCAGTTAGCAATGCAAATTCTCAGCAGCGAAATTGTTAGAAACGCAAATTATCAGCAGGGGTGCGAACCAGAACAAACCAGTTCTAAGCCCTTGGTTTTAAGCCGCTAAGTTTGTTATGCGGCAATAGAAAGCCAATACACATGGTATTCCTTTCAATGTCTTCAGAGCTAAGCATGGGCATTCCCTTCCCAAGGAGCAAACAACTGATAAAAGTAAAAACCCATGAATACAAGTGTTTCTTGAGCCGCTATAAATACATACATACATATATATATATATATATATATATATATAAAATCAGTTATATTTACTAGGTCTGTCTTCCATGCTTTTCAAGGATTATAGAGTCTTGTAACAGAACAAACATATAGTGATCTTCATAGGGCTGCAGAATTTAAAGCTCAGAAACTTAGTTTCGGCTCTGTGACTATCTGATATAGCTATTCTGTCATAATTTTCCACCCATAAACTGAAGAGTTTGGTCTTAAAACCACACACGCTATCAAGCTCAGCAGGTGCCACTCTAAGAATCAGCTCTAACAGGCAAACAGAAGGTAAGTAATCACTGTAGCTCACCCACTAAATCTGCTCTGTTCACCACAAGGAGGGAACTCTATTAAATATTTAACACAATCACAAAGCGTACACCCAGCAGGTGGACAACTATGATTACTTGCCCCATAACCCTCTCAGCAAGGGCCTGACAGCACCTGGGATGGGATTTATATCATATTAAAGATATTCTTTTGTAGCTTATATCAAAAGAAAGACCCACAGTTCCAAAACTGAGATTTCAAATAAAGACTGTTCTCCTGCTGCACATCTTTGGGCAAATTTCTGAGGGCTTTCCACAAGTTATTACATGGTGGGAAAGACATAGAAATCAGAAATGTAATTTAACACTTTAACTGTAAAGCTAAAGCAAAGTTTGATATAGTAAATTATCTCTTAATAACAGAAACTATCCACTGATATAATGAGTCCCCAAATTGGCAAGCTTCCCATGTTTGCACAAATTGCAGAAGAAACCACAAAATGCACAAGTGCATATATTGGGGTTGGCACCACCAGTTAGAGATCTGAAGAATCTACAAGATGATCCCCTAGCAAGTTGTTCATTAGTTGCTACGGAACAATTTCATTTAACTACAATGTAAACGAATATTAAAGTTATCATTTATTGAACATCTACTAAGTCTTAGGTTCTGGGCCAAATGCTTTACAAACACTATCTCATTTAATAATGAAAAAACCTACAAGTCAAGGAAGATACTCTTCCCACATTTCAGATGAGCAAAGTAAGGCTCAGAGAAGTTGGTTTGCCCAGGGCCTCATACCTTGTAAGTAATGAGGCCAGGGTTTGAACTCAGATTTATAATCCTATAATCCTGGTTCATCACATCATATCTAGCTGCCTCCCAGCTTTGCTCATTCTCTGCCACACAGTTCAGGAGCATTATGTTGGGTGAAAAAAATAAGCCACAGAAAAATACCTAGAGTGTAATTCGATTTATATAAAGTTCAGAATATGCAAAATGTAATGATATATTATGTAGGGATTCAAACCTGTGTGATGTAACTATATAAGAAAGTAAAGGAATCGTAAGTTCAAAATTCAGGATGGTGGTTACCACTCTGGGGAAAGAAAGGAGATGGGATTAGGGAAAGTCAATACAAGGGTTCAAAAGTCACGATCATGTTCTTTTTCTTAAACTGGGTCGTGAGTACATACATCGTACAGGTGCACTGCATCATGTTTTGTTATCCTTTACATATGTTTTATGAACCGATAAAAAAAGCAATGATGTAATTTGTCGACTCTTTTTACTTCTCCAGAATTTGACTCTTTTTATGGTCCAAAGCTCGGAGTAGAATAATAGCAACTCTTACCAAATTTAGCACTTTAATTTGGGTTAGGAAATGACCATTGTCCCTTGACATCTAATCAGATATGTTGACTTTGTAACAATGAATTGGCAAGCAATGATTTTCTATTTTTCTATAACAAGCATTTCTATTTGTTCAGTTATTACTGATGTTAATAATACAATACTGAGAGTATTTCTCCATAAAATAATGAGTATAGATATTCTTTCTTCAGCATTCTCTCTCTAAAATCAAGGAGAAGAGAAAGATAGCAAAAGGCAAGACTATAATATCAGCCCTAAACAATCACTATAGTATACAAATATTGACATCGGTAAATCATTTTCACTGTGCCAATCACAGAACCGAGATGCTGGTGTTTTTCCACATAGGAGGAGAACTACAGAAGCATTGGACTGTACTTTCACAAGGAAGATAACTCAAAGTTCAGATTTAATGTATCAGAACTGAGGAGAGCTAGAGGGTGGTCAGTGTTAAGAAAGCTCAGAGAGCACACTGGAGGTGCACCCAACCCAGACTGGGAGATCATGAAAGGATTTCCAAGGAAGAAGCATTTAACCTCAGGCCAGAAAAAACAGTAGGAAACACACAGAGAATGTAGCCTAGGGGGAAGAGTGTTCCAGGCAGGTAGACTGAGGTGATCAGTTTTGGCAATTTAAAATTTTCTTGCAGAAACTACATTAATGCAAACAGAGCAATGGAAATGAAGAGAATGTTCACACATTGGGAAGAATGTAACCAATGTCACTGAACAACTTGTGTAGAAATTGTTGAATGGGAACTTAAACTGCTACGTAAACCTTTACCAAAAACACAATAAAATATTATTTAAAAAAAAAAAAAAGATACAGCACATAAAACATTTAGAATGGTAGATGGCATCTCATCTGGAAAATGCTAGAAAAAAATTTCCTTGCAGAGATCTGTAAAGAAGACCTGACGGATGTTATAAATTAGACTTAGCTCCTGGCCTCCCCACCTACAGTGCTGTCCCAGTCCTGACCATGGAGACAGCACAGGGCAGTATGGGCTGTGGAGTCTGAGAGGTATAGGACTGAATGCTTGTCTACCTTGACAGTCACAGACCAGCTCTCAGTTTCACGGTTGCATGGGTTAAATGTTCAATTGCTGATATTACTAATCTATTCCTCGTTCTATAGCCAGTGTGATCTTTCTAAATACAACTCCTGCTTCTCCTCCATTTAAAACACAACTACAGGTTTCCCGTCACCCAGGATAAATACTCAAAATCCTGAATATGGCTTTCAAAGTCTCTCGATTGTCTGGCCCCTGCTTCCCTCTTCAGCCTCCTCTAGCTTGGCCCTTCAGCCACATTAAACTAATCTTGGTTACCCATCTCAGTTCCCCAACTCCCCATACTCTCTCGGCCTGCCTAGAACACACATCTCCTCACCCTTCTTCACCAAGAAAACTCCTGTTACTCTTCAGATCTCAGCTTGGTAAGGAAATTTTAATTCCTTTAAAGAAATTTATATGTGTATATATAATATGTATTATGTACATATAATTATGTATTATATATATGTATATATGTATAACGTGGAGCCCTTATGGCTCAGTGGTTAAGAGCTCAGCTGCTACCCAAAAGGTCAGCAGTTCGAATCTACCAGCTGCTCCTTGGAAACCCTATGGAGCAGTTCTACTGTGTCCTATAGGGTCACTATGAGTCCGAAACGACTCAATGGCAACAGTATATGCATAAAGAAGAGACATTTTATAGGTTCATGTGAATTTATCTGCATGGCACTCTGTACGATGCTAGAATTTAAAGTTCTGCAAGTCAGAACCTATATTATTTTAATATATTTTGTGCATCAGCACACTCTTACATAATAAACATTAAACATTAACACCAACCAATTCACTGTTTTTTGGGAACAATTTTTAAAAATATGGTAGTTGTTCTAGGATCTCTTGGAAAATAACTTATATATATGTTTTGATTATCATATATTTCAAAGTTTAATACAAAATGTATCCAATCATAAAAGATCATCAGACTAAGGATAGTGGTTTTACTACAAATCTGGGTAGAGATATGAAGTTTTTCTAACTTTCAGTCAACAGTAGGCAATGCTAAAAGTCACATCACAAAAGAATTGCCAGTAAACTCAGGGGTTGCTGTCGATCTGTATGCCCTTTTTTGCTTTCAACCAGCAAGTTGATGTTTATTACTACAACCCATCAATAGTGTCTGGAACCAGAGAACTCCTCTTACCTCAGCATCAAAGCGAGGATCCTGGTAGGCGTCACTGATGTTCACTGGGAGGCCCGTAGAAGCAACCAGCTCAGCCACACTGTTATTTATTAGCCAGTCCGAGTATGATGATTTCTCCATGCTTTCTTTGAAACTACCAAGGCAAGCAGTAAGAAAAGACATAAACATAAATTTGCTTGAAAGAAACTTACAAAACTACAATAATAGCAGGATTATCTATCCTCATTAAGAAGGGATAAGTGACATTAGTCACAGAACAATAGCGAGGTAATTATCAGTAGCTGGCTCAAAAAGACTCATCTGTTATAATATAAAATAATCAAATCCATGGGTAGAAATTATATATTCTCTATGATCCAGAGAGCAACTGGCAGAGAGCAACTGCCCCACCACAGGCAGACAACAAATAGACAATCAGACAATGACCAAAATTGACAATAGGGCCCCAAGGTAGTAGTCTAATGAAATTCCCCAGTCTCCATGCCACTAGCGCCCTAACTGAATGGACCAGATGATTTGGCACCAGGTAAAATTAAACCCAAGAATGGGGGGAAATCAGGAAATAAACTGAGAATTTACAAAATTTTAGATACTGGACGACAGGTATAATCTTAGTAGTTATGTAATTATTCTTTTAGTCTCAGAGTACATTTCTTAACGAAAAGCACATTGCCTAGTTACAAAATATCATTTAAAAGTCTATCTTAACTCTACCGACCCCTAACATTAATAATTTAAATTATATCCATATGAACAAGGAATTTTACGCTAAATGATTTCATGAACTTTCCCTTTTATCACTTTCACTACAAATAGCAAATTTACAAAAATGGTGTAAGAACTAGGGGGATTCCACATTCCCTCCCTCTTCCATCTTTTCCCCCACACACAGCACAGCTAGAAGCTATGGAAATGCAAAATTGAGTACTGCTTAAATTAACATTATCAAGGAAAACTTCCATGGAGGGTGTTAAATCTGTGGCTTGGCAGGTGATAAGTGAAATTTTACGTGGATGAATGAAAATAAATCAGGGCAATGTCTTCCAAACTGCATTCTGTGGAACTCTAGATTCTATATGATGTTAATAAATGTCCCCAGGTACTGCAAATGGTTAAGCACTTGATTACCAGCCAGAAGGTTGGTGGTTCAAAACCGCCCAGAGGTGCCTCAGAAGACAAGCCTGGCGATCTGCTTCTGAAAGGTCACAGCCTTGAAAACTCTATGAAGCAGTTCTACTTTGTACATATTGGGTCACCATGAGTTGGAATCAACTCGATGGCAACCCACAACAACAATAATGACAATGATAATAGCTCTATTGAATTTTTAATCTAAAACGTATATGTAAGAAAAACATTAAATACACATACACTGTCATTATTATTATACAATAATGGACCTATGTGGAATTTATGCCATACTAGGAATGCTGAGAACTGGCATGGAGAGGCTGCCACAGGCATGAATAAGTGGGAAGTGTCAGCATTGTTCACCAACATTAGTATATCTCATCTATAATGATTGCTGATCTATGTCTTACAAGTTCAACACGTAGTTATGATGTTATTAATCCCTCACTGCATATTAAATATTAATATACCCTCTCCTCACTTATCAACATGGTTAGGTTCCAAAGACCAGGTTGTTATGTGAAATTGGTATTATGCGAAAGTGGAGGATGACCACATCAGATCACAAAATGGCGGATGACTACATCATTACCTAACTGCCAAATTAAAATTACATCATTACCTAACTGCCAAATTGCACCATTACATAACCGCCAAACAACTGAGAATCATGACCCAGCCAAGTTGACACGTAACCTTAACCATCACAGCCAGTGTTACTCTTGCCTCACACCTAGACGTTCATTAGTTCCATACGTACATTTTGTCATTAATGTGCAAAATAGTCGCATAATAGTTATTTTTTCACTATCATCCTAAATGCAGAATGTTGGATAATGAGATAGTCGATAAGTGAGGAAGAAGTATACTACATATACTTATTCTCTATGAATCTCTGCCTGAAAAATGGTAGTCTTAATAAAAAGCTAAGTCTTACACTCCTTAGATGGTGCCTAAATCAAAGTAGCGAAAAGACAAAGCATTTCAAAGACAAGATGAAGCCTTTGTTCTCTAAAACAAACCAGCAAGTAACCAAAAAGCCCATGCTTTATTTTCCTTTTGCTATATTATACCTGTGAGGAATGAATTTTTATGTTGTGCTGCAATAAAAGCAAAATATAGGAAGAACCGTGATTATGTACTTGATTAAAAAAAAAAAAAAAACCGTTGCCATTGAGTCGATTCTGACTCACAGCAACACTGTAGGACAGAGTAGAACTATTCCATAGAGTTTCCAAGGCTGTAATATTTTCTTTTTTTAAAAAATGCTAGGTGTAATTTTATTTATGTTGTTGCTGTTGCTATTGTTGGGATGTAGCATTAGCACCTTCCTCTAAATCCCACTCCCACAGAACCCTCCCATGTACATCCCAGCTCCTGAAATCTTTTTGTATGGAAGCTCTTTTAGGGGGTTTTCACTTTCATTTTTTTCTTAATATCCTGCTCTTGCCTGGCCTAGTTCTCCAAGGCACTTTAGGAGGGGAGAAGAAGAGAAAGAATTTGGTCGTGTTCACACTCCTAGGAGAGGTGTCTGACAGGCGTCCTCCTCCAGGGTCATCTTTCCATTTTACAGTATTTTCAAACAGCCTCCCTTTTGAGAAAGAGGCAGAGAAATGGCTCCTAAAGGTCCCAGACTAATTGGAAGCAGCTTCCCGGGAGTGCAGCCATCTCTGTGTTAGAGCTCTGAGGAAGTAGGGATGGGGAGCATAAATCATTTTCTCGCTTTTTCCGAGGGGAGGTTTCTGGTGTCATTTTGACATTTCCTCAACACTTGTCCCATGCACATCTCCTTGGAAGTCTAACTCTTGATCTCAGAGGCCTATTTCCAGAGGGTGGGTCCAATGCACACCGGGTGTTCAGACACTCTCTTGAAGAGTGTATGTACTTCAGAGAAGCCACAAGGGAGGAAAAAAAAGCTGCCCGATGAGGAGAAAAACTAGGATAACAGAAGGGACAAAACTTGCAGAGCATCAAAACATATTTCCTGTGGCAAGGGGTTTCTAACCAGGTTCCGCACCTGAGGCCAGGCCACCCCCTTCTCACCACCTCTAGGTACAGCTGCTAGTCATGCCTCTTCTTTGTTTAAACCCTTCAGTAAACAATCACCAGTGAAGAAATAAAATGGAAAAGAGATCACTTGCTTGATAGCTGCAGAAAATATAAAACACACAGTCATAAACTTAACAAGAAATATGCAGGACCTATGTGAAGAAAACTCATACTCTACTGTGGAGCACAGACCTAAAAAAAAAAAAACAATTGCCATCAAGTTGATTCTGATGCATGGATACCCCATGTGTGTCAGAGTACAACTGTGCTCTATTCTGTTGCTGTTGTTTTTATTGTGCATTAGGTGAAAGTTTACAGAGCAAATTAGTTTCCCATTCGATAGTTTGTTCATAAAGTGTTTCATGACCTTGATTTAACTCCCCATAATGTGTCAGCACTCTCCCCATTTCTGCACTCAGTTCCCCATTTTCTTTCATCCTGATTTTGTATCCCTTCCTACCTTCACATCTTTGCTTTTTGGCAAATAATGCCCTTTTGATCTTGTATAATTGATTGTTCTTAGGAGTACCGTACCTTCCCCTCGGGTGTTATTGTTCATCTTTTTTTTTTTTTTTCATCTGTAAAATGTTTTCATTGAGGTATAACATGTATGGTATACATCATACAGGATATTTCATACAGGTATACAGTAAGTTGCATAACTTCATTATCTGATTAATTTAATACTCAGATTCACAGCTGTCTACAAATTATAGTTTCATAACTCTTAAATGTACAGTTAGTTTCTTTTTATTGCACTTTAGGTGAAGGTTTACAGAGCAAATTAGTTTCTCATTAAACAATTAATACACATATTGTTTTGTGACATTGGTTGCCAACCCCACGTGACATGTCAGCACTCTCCCCCTCTCAACCTTGGGTTCCCCATTACCAGCTTTTCTATCCCCCCTTGCCTTCTTGTCCTTGCCCCTGGTCTGGTGTGCCCATTTAGTCTTGTTTTGTTTTATGGGCCTGTCTAATCTTTGGCTGAAGGGTGAACCTCAGGAGTGACTTCAGTATTGAGTTAAATGGGAGTCCAGGGGCCATATTCTTGGGGTTTCTCCAGTCTGTTTGGGCCCAGTAAGTCTGGTCTTTTTTTGTGAGTTAGAATTTTGTTCTACATTTTTCTCCAGCTCTGTCCAGGACTCTCTATTGTGATCCCTGTCAGAGCAGTCAGTGGTGGTAGCCAGGCACCATCTAGTTATGCTGGAGACAGGCTGGTGGAGGTGTCTTGTGTCTTTGGTTTGTTATTGCTTATCTTATGTGCTTGTCTATTTTTTGGCTGAGAGGTGGTCTCCAGGAATGGCTTCAGTTCCAGGTCAGAAGGGTGTCTTAGGGCCATAGTCTCCAGGGTTCCTCCAGTCTCTGCCAGACCAGTAAGTCTGTTTTTTTCTGTGAATTTGATTTTTTGTTCTCCTGCTCTGTCCAGGACCTTCTGTTGTGATCCTAGTCAGGACAACTGGTAGTGGTAGCCAGGCACCATCTAGTACTTCTGGTCTCACGGTCACGTAGGGTATTGTTCATATGGTCCATTGGTCCTTTGGACTAATCCCACCCTTGGGTCTTTGGTTTTCATTGCTCTCCTTTGTTCCAGACAGGAAGAGACCAATCGTTGTATCTTAGATGGCCGATTGAAAGCTTTTAAGACCCCAGACGCTACTCACCAAAGTAGGATGCAGAACATTGTCTTTATGAACTATGTTGTGCCAATTGAGCTAGATGTTCCCCAAGACCATGGTCCCCAAAGTCTATGGTCCTTTGTCTTCTAGCCTAGGAATTTCATCCTGTGAGGTGTTTGGTTATATTTAAGAGGTTTCCCTGACTATACATACCCCTTGTGTGCACTATATGAGCTGCACTTAAGCATGCACGTAGAAGTACCCACCATCAAACCTATACCTGCCAGTGGGTGTGTTCTCTTACTTCCTCCCAAACTCCTTGGAGTATCTATCT